CCTCCTGCCTCCAGCTGTGGGTATCAGATGCACCTTTTGCACTTGTGATTGCACACAAATCAGAGACAGATGTTTACTGCTTAAAAGTGACCTAGAATTGACTCTGTTCTTTAGTCACCATCTGTAAAATGGGGATAAGTAGCACTTCTGTCTTACAAGGGTGTCATGGGAACAGATAAATTTGATGGTAGTCAATTATTCTATAAGTTTGCATGAACCCCAACGATGAAGAGAAAGGATAAAAAAGAACCTCAGGTACTTGAATGAACAACAGCAGTGTTGCCAACTCTTTAAACTTTAGCACAAGATTCTCAATCTGCAATGCTCTTAAAGATCAAGTTTCCTTAAGTGCAAGCTTTCATTAAATAAGAACCACGTTTAGATCTGATGGTCACGAAGTAAAATGCAGAAACATGACCAAAGTCCAACTTAAAGGTTTAATGCCTAAATATTAGTTTCACATAAATACAGTATGGAAAACCCTGTGCCACCTCAGCACTGCAGCAATACTCACTCTGCAGTCTGAGAAACGAACTTTAGACTGAGCTGGAACAACTCAGGTGGGAAGGATGTGGGGGGCTCATCTCACCGCCATCCTGCCCAAGGCAGGGTCAGCACCAGGGTCACACCAGCACCCAGCCACTCTGGTGTGGATCCTTGCACACCCTGGGGCACCCTGCTTACCCAGCAAAACACACGTGCTCATTGCAAGGAAGATTTATCACAGAATCGTTTAGGTTGGAAAAGACCTTTAAGATCATTGAGTCCAACTGTAAACCTAGCGCTAGCAAGTCCATTAGCAAACCATGGCCCTAAGCACCACGTCTACACATCTTTTAAATACCTCAATGGATGGTGACTCCACTACTTCCCTGGGCAGCCTGCTCCAGTGCTTGATAACATTTCAGTGAAAAAAATTTTACTAATACCCAATCTAAACCTCCCCTGGTGCAACTTGAGACCATTTCTTCTGGGCCTATTGCTTGTTACCTGGGAGAAGAGACGAGCTGTATGGTTCTAGAGCAGGGTTAGGTTCTGAGGGGAGAGGGCTTAGAATGTAGTCCAGGGGATACTCCTGGTTTTTTCATCTCATGAGGAACTGTCATACTTGCTGACGAATAGCAGCCTCACTGGGCTTCTTTGTTAGTTTATTTTTCTTTTTTTTCTTGTGGGCTTTTTTATATTTTTTTGGTGGCTCTCTTGAAGGCCCATAGGATGGGATCCTATCATCTCATAAAGTGCAACTCTCCCAAGTTTCTAGCATGCTGACTCACGCTGCCTCCGCAGCCGTTCTTTTCTCTGCAGACAAAACTGGAAACTGGACACGTGGCAAGCTGGTGGCCTTCACAGCAACTCATTGCCATGCTCCTGCTGCAAGGATTCTTGCCAGCTTGCCCAAGAGTCTTGTCTAACACTTGTCAAAGTGCTTTGGTGCCCACTCTTGAGCCCAGAAGCACCTCAGCCAGGGCAGGTGCCCGTATCATTTCTTTTCAAGGTGTGGGTGTTGCAATTCAAAGCCAGTGCTATTTTCTTAAACATGAACTAACTTGTAATGCAGATCAATCTGTATCACCATAACTTTTAATGCAAACTCTATATATTTGGTTTTGAACTTTAAGGTATCACTTTTTACCAGGTGAAAGAGTAAGCAAAGCAACTGAAATGTTATTAATATACTTTTCAGTATTTTTTGGCTAAAATTTAACTTGAACTACAAAGATGAAATACTCTGATCATTTTAAATGTTTATCTTGGAGTTTCAAGAAACAAAAGTTAGAAAAGAGATTTGGTTTTGGGGTGGTTTTAGTTACTGAAGGCAATTGTAACTCCATTGATCCTGCGTGTTCACCCCCTCTTTCAATGTCCAGTACTTGCTCATTATTATCAACGTGACAACTCCTTTCTTCGAAAGGTTGTCTTGTCACACCTTGAACCACCTCTCTCCATGGTTACATTTTCTAATCAGCTCACATGATGAGCCTACATCAAAGGATGCTTTACTTAATTCCTTTCCGTTTGTATGGTGTGGTTCTTGGAGGGACTCGTGTCAAAATTTTGGAGGGCCCTGTCAGTTTGAAAAGAACGTGACCTTTAAATTGTATCAGTATGTTTGCTGGTGCATAAGGGAGAGGAAAAGGCTCATAGTGATGGAAAACCACTCTAGAAATGAAAAGTAATTCACTCAGAAGCAACATGCATAGGAAGTTAATTTGTTTACATTTAACTGATCTTAAAAAGACAGAATGAGGAGGAGACGTTCTTTGAGCAATTAGGGGTCCATACAGCATGTCCTTAAATTTGGCTTAGAGCATGTTATCTGTTGATCTTGCTGTTCTGTATTTATAATAATACATTAAAGTACAAACATTCAAGTGTGATAGAACAGATAAAAGGTGTAATTCTCTAAAATTATCAAACATGTTACTTTGTTGCACTTTCAGAACTGTATCTGTGGGCATGCTATAATTAGTAATTGACAACGTTAATTTTTGTATAGTCTGTCACTGACTGAAGTAGCAGAGCTAGGGTTTATGTGGATATAAATACGCACACGCTTATGTGCATGTGAGAGTTATAATTCAAGATAACATGGGAGAAATGCTTTTGTATCATAAATGCAGACAGTCTGGATACGAGGGCAATCCATCTGGAATGCCTAAGGTGGATATTTGAAACAATTCAATATGGATGCATGTTGGTAGAGCTGTGTAATGCTGGGAGCTTTATCAAGTTTCACAGCCTTTATTAAGTACACAGACTGTGGACAGTCAAATACCCTGTAGTAACGAATCAGGAACATTGACCGTTCTCATCTCCTGTCAGCTGTGCTTTAAGGCATTTTACTTTGAGTAGCTTTTACACATGTTGAAACACATAGATCCACTGAAAGTGTTGAAGTCTGGTTTGCTCTAAATTTGTATCTTAAGTTTACTTAACGTTGATGGCCAGAAAGTGAATGTCCTCTAGCTTTTCCATTTTGGAGCATACTTAGTCACTCACTGTTAAAGTTTATTTGATATCTGATAAGGTATGAGGTCATTCTGAAAGTGTTCCCAAGGTCAGTAGAAGGATTTCTCTTCCCTCTGTGGATATAGCATCCTCAAAAAATGTGCAGGAACTTGATAATCTTTGAACCCTTCACCCTTCTGTCAACCTTGTTGAAACAGGATTCCAAAGTTACTGGGTGGAGAGGCACCCACAGGGTGTGATCACATGAAACTGCTGTAGTCAAAGCATTTGTGCTGCTTCCTTGTAGTGCTAAATCACCTGACACTCTTCAAATTTGGTAATATTCTCCTGAATCGTAGGAACAATCTAGGGTCACCTGCCAAAGACCTTGTGTTCTGATACTGGATCTCAGTCTTGCTCCAGAAAATCAACCTACTCCAAAAAATCTACCAGAATCCAAGTTAACAGAGGTCCTGTTTTGAGTGTGGCTGGTTTCTGTGGTCTGTTTCATGCTTTCACCTACAAATCTCACACAGAAGCAGGGAATAAACAAATTACTGTGATTTCTACATTATAAATTGCAAAATATTTCTCTGCTAGAGTCAAGAAGCCCTCTTGATTATGAAATGCCTCTCCTACAGCTTTCCCCTTTAGGTATTATAATCACAAGAGCAGCAGTTTGGGAATAAACAAAAGCGAAGATGACAGCAAACCCAGGTGCCACCGGAGCAGACAGACAAATGGAGCAAGCGCTGCAGTGGTTTTAATGACGGTAACCTCTCCTCCCTGACAGCTGTGTTGCTTTCTTCAAACGCCTGTACAAATCAACAGCATGTGCTGTGGTCAGAACAGATCTTTCTTCAAACTCAACATTTAAAAGTTAAGCGCCTAATTTAAGGTATTCCCACCAACTTTTCTCTGCAATCACTCGAGACAGGCAGTCTCCAGAGCAGCAGAGCTCTGCTGGAGCGTCAGAGTTTAAGCCTACAGTTTCCAGAGGGAACACTACCGGTGCAACCAGATCAAAAGCAGGAGAACGAATGCACACTCACCTGCATGCCTCATGTTTTCTTAGAGATTTTTAAGAAAGTCTTGACTTTTCATTTCTTTTTTTTAAATTTGTTTCCCCCCTCCACTAACACCAGTGCAGCTGTTATATTGCTGCTGTACTTTTCTCAACAAGACTACAGTGCTGGTTCAGTCATATAAGAGAAGTCAATACTCATGTGTTAAATGAAAAGAGAATAGCATTGTCTGATACTATTCTACTGAGATCTGGGAACCAATAGTTTAAATTTTGGGGTTTTTTTAAACAGGAAACTTTGCCTTCACAAAAATAACCTGACCTACATAAAAGAAACCGTAGAATCAGAGGCTGTATTACCCTAAATGTTTCTATAGCAAAAGCTTTGTTCACAATACATTACTCAAGTCTTGGCCTGCAATTTCTTCTTAAAAGGTTTATTGCATATTGCCTTACTACATTTACAGCACAAGCAAGGCAATGTTTGTGTGGATATAAGAACCTCCACATGAGCAAAAATTTTAAGTGCTAAACAACAAAGGGCGCACATACTATTATGCAAGAAATTGGTATTATTTCCATCCTTGGCAAACAACAAGAATATACACAGCACAGAGGAAAGCAGAGGGCTAAACTACAAATCGGGTACTTGAGCATCATTTCTGTTTTTCATCTCTGACCCTCTGAACTGCAGACATTAGTGAAACAAAACAAGTGGGATTTTCAAAATGCAGATACTTATCACCAAGTAAAAACATCACCAACAGCAAAGCACAACCATCAGTGAGCATTTTGCTCAATAAAGCACTTGATATAAGCACGCAACCCCTCAAGCCCAAGACTTTAAAAACACTTCACTCTTGATGAACGCTCTGCAAACACAGGGAGAGTGAAGGTTATTTACAGAGGCAATACGAGCATGGCACATACACAGCAATAAACACAGAGGTTGGTAATTTGCTCTTTTCCCCATATGTAGATACTCAGAAAAGAGCAAAAAGACAAGAGCAGGGGTAAAATGACATACCTCACCAAACCTGAATGTTGGACACAACTCGTTTCAGAGCAACATTGGTGTGAAGGTAAGTTCCTCAGGCGACCACCAAGGACAGTTCCTCTCTGAGCTCCCCAGAGGGTCCAGCTCCCCCTTGTCCGTGTCCCTGAGGAAGATGCACTGTCCTCCAGTATTTCAGAGCCTCAGCTGCAGAAGATGCTGTTCAGAAAAAAGGAAAGAGAAGAAGGTGGGGCATTAAATTCTGGGGTCAGTTGTTTGGCAGATTCAGAGCAGAACATAAGACAACATCGGATAGAAAAGAAATGTCAAGGCAGGACAAAGAGTGTGTGACAATCCATCATGTGTGGCACCTTTGGAGGGCAATCTTTGAACTGAAGAACTGTGGTGCAAAGCCGTTCTTGCTTTACAGTACTTTAACAGTGTCCCTACCCCAGAAAATGAATGCCAGCCTAGCTGCTTTTTATTCTAGGCTGATATCGTAATAAGTAAATAGTACACTTCTCCATAGGGAATATTTTAATTCATTATGGCATTTCTGCCAACTAACAGGACTTTCATATTAAAAGTAGAGACATAGCATCAGTTTTAATATATCACACTGTTAAAATGGCTCACACTCAAGGAATTCAAAGCTCCTAAACAGGCAATCATGTTAGGACTGACAGCTGATGGGAAGTGGTGACTGTCAGCCCAACACTCAGCAACAGGTTCCCCAAGTTCAGCCTCCAAAGCAATGGTCAGCAACAGGTAAACGGCTCGAGATTTTCCGGGAGAGTGGGGACTCGGCATGGCCATGCTTTCTTGTTCACTATCACTGCTGGACGTGCTCGGTGTTTCCGAGAGGTCAGAGCTTTGCACTGAACATGGATGTGGAGGCCTCACAGAGAAGCACTGAGATGGCCAACCATTCATCACTGTCATTGCATTAATCATCCCTAATCCCTGGCATATGGGAAAACACTCAAAGGACCATCCTTCCCTGACCCAGACAACACAGCCTGCGAAGTGAGACCAGGCAGAGCAGCACAAAGCAGGTGAGGACCGAGAAAAGAGCAGGATCTGACCTCCCCTAAGCCAGATACATCTGCACTAGGTGGCTTGTGTTCTTAAACCAGGCTCAGAGACGCTTTTCTAGTATTAAGTCAACATAGCAGCCATGAACATATTCTAACTTCGCCTAGAAACGCAAAAAGAGCAGAGAAAAAAGAATTAAAAAAAGATATACAGATATTTATTACTCAGAGATCTCCTGCACAGGAGAGTGTCTGTGGCAGCTCAAATTACCAAAAAATCCCATTACATCATCACAAAAAAATCTTGAACCCATGAACAGGTTACAGCTATCTGGAAAACCCATTAGCTTTTAGGCTTGCAAGAAGGAAGAATTCAGTAATCAGCGTGTAAAATTGTCCACACTGAAAGTTAGCATCATACTGCTTTATATATATATATACACACACAATTTTTACTAAAAGTCCACATAGCAAGCATGGCCACACAGATCAGAACAACCAAATATATTCACTTTTTAGCAGTAATTGCTCCACTGGACCTCGTATAAGTGGTTTATGTTACATACCACACCTAAAGGCTCTACAAGTGGAACAGCTTGTGAGGTACCTACAGAAGCAGCCAGGACAGCACAGCCCAGCCCTGCATTGCTTGGGATGCATTTTCAGAACTTGTGTCTCTCTTGAACTCAGTCATGAAGGACAAAAGTGGACCTTCACAGCTCCTGTCCTGACCCAGGCTAACCATGAAAAATCAGACTGCCAGCTGAAATGGCTGCTGAATGACTTATGGGTATAGAAATGGCTGATGCTGCAGCAGTTTGATCTGCAGGTAGCAGCAAGACCTAATTCTACTGCTTTTGAGGGATTTCTATCTCCAAAGACCACAGTTACAATTACTCTTTCATTTTTACTTGTAAATTGTAATGCAAAACAGTCACAAAGAAAATCAGCGCTACGTTTTTGTGCATTAACTACAGCATCAGCTGAGTTGAGAAGCAGAAGTAACAATAATAGGACTAGAGCATCACTGCAAGCTGAGCGCAGAAGCATGGACTTAGGTTGGAAAAGATGCTTTTTTGAAAGCTCCTCTTTAGCACAGCTTGCCAATGCTCATCAGAAGCAAATCTCTTTGGCAAGAAGTTGGCACATTGCCTTGGTACGCTGCTATGCGTGCACACAGGGTTTCTGCACTGCTGCGTGGATCACAGACCACTGCACGGGCAGAAGCCTGCACTGCCAGCTCCTGGAGAAGACAAAAAAAAGAACAGCTTCTCCTACTCCTAACCACTACAGGAATGAGAAGACAGCTGCTGCAAGTGGGGAGATGTTGCTGCTGAGCAGTTGCCTGATCCAGACTGAAAGGGTGCAGGACCACCAGCATATGGTAATGTGGGGATGTGGAAAGTAATGAGAGGTGTGGGCATGGTTGTGGAGCGAAAAACAACTTTGGTCATGGTAAAATGCAATGACTCCGCACCATTCCCATCTCTTTTATCAAAGAGAGATGATGCAACATAACGCAATGAAATCTGTGCCCAGGACTCCTGTGAACAGCAAGGTGCGGATGCTCCAGCCTGAATGCAACGTGCTTTCTTCACCTGCATAGCACAAATCCCCTAAAACTTCAATATTTTGCAAAAAACTGTTCACAAGAGTCACTAGTTCCTTAGTGTTGTAGCAGGCAACTGGAAAGTTTCCCTGCCACAGGTGATGAATCCAGAGAGCCCATCACACAGCTCCTGATATGCTCCTTGGACCTCCTCAACTTTGAGCAGCTCTAGTGAGCAGCCACCCTGATGGCTGGAAAAGCCCAGGCTGATGGTGGAGTCAGTGCTGGAGCCACTGCCCAAGCCCCAAACCATCCCACAGCTGTGGAGCGAGATGGACACCATCACCCCTGACAACAACCCTCCGAAACAAAACCAGCTCTGAACTTAGAGAAATGCCCCATGTGCTAGAAATGCCATCATTTCAGTTAGCTTTGGTTCTAAAATGTGTTCCCCCCATTTTTGTTTGATCAGAGGTGTGGAGGTAACTACCAACAAACTACAATTTACTTTTGTTATCCCACCACTTCAGATTTTTACGTTCAGTTTCTGGAGCCCTGGATTAAATATTCAGGTGCATTCCTACATTAACATAGTTAAATGGTATCAGATCAGTCTTCAAGTCACAAAAGCAGGCATATAGATGTTCTCATTAATCAAAAAAGGCAGGCAACACATTTTTCCAGTAAAAAGAGTATTTATTGGAGAAGTCTCAGTCTTTTACTGATAGAAAGTATGAATTATACAAAATAACTGTACACTCTAGATGTAACAGAGCAGATCAAATATTAAATTTGAAGATACCACTTCTATCTTGAGATATTCCCAGACCACAAATCAATGAGGGCTAGGAGACACTCTCACAGGAAGCCTTGCCCTGTTCTTATACTCTTCTTTAGGCATCAGCTCCTGGTCACTGTCAGGGTGAGGACAGGAGGTGGCTGGACCCCTCTCTGAGCCAGCATGGTCATCCTTGTATTTGGGTGCCAGACAGCTTAAGGTGCAGCTTGAGCCTTGTGGCTAGATATGGCAATACTGGTGAGCAATTGCCACTTTAGGCAGGGCAAAATGAGGTGCCTAAAAGCTGAACAGCATACTTGCAAGGAAGATATTCTATGCAAATATTGCACATTTGCAAGTAGATATTCAAATTAGTATTAGTTTGTCTCATCAAAAATTAATTACAACCTACCTAACTGCAATTGAAGAAATTAGTTGGGCATAGAAAAGATTAAATAATTAAAGACTCTGGTGGCTTAAAATTAAAATATTTTAAAAAACAACCCAAACCTCCTTGCTTAAATATTAAATTTCTTCTATTTTTACTGCTAATGTGACCATTAAGAAATTGAAACTCCATATGTGTGTGCACCCTACAGACACGTACGACACACTGAGGTCTATGTAACACGTTCATATATAGTCTCATGACTTCTTTTTTTATAAATAAACTTGGGTACAGATGCCTGACTAATACAGGGGAGCTATACTGGTAAAGTCAGAAGAAAGGCTGTGAAGCAGGCACAGGAAAACACATTTTTATTGCTAAGTATTTAACAAGGTCAACCTCCTCTGTAAGTGCAGGAAAAAATATCCCACAGCAGCCTGAACACAGCAGGGGATTACACCAATTCATTAGCAGGTGTATCTTCTAATTACAGCCGTGGACATTAGTCCCCACAGAGCTGAGTGGGCAACAGCTGCTGCCTTCTGCCGTGTCCTCAGGATGGAGCTCCCTGTTTAGTACTGAGCTTCAGGACAGCACGGCTCAACACAGGCCCACCACACCGGCTTCAGCCAAAAGCAAGGGTGTTCAGCTTTCTCAAAGGATGCTCCTGACAGCTCAAATCCAAAGAGAAGCCAGCATCAACATTGTATGGGATTTGTTTCTCTGCTCCTGCCACATCAAGGAACCACAGGATCAACAACTCATCCTGTCAGCTGCATCTCTGGTAAAGATCTCACATTAATTTAGTGTAAAGGTGACACTGGCGAAGAAGAGAAACAAATGAGACTTTGAATCCCTCCTTCCAGGAGGCTAATGGTAAAAAATTGGTAGCAGTGCAATTTCGGCACCTTTCCAACTAAAACACTTACAGCATTGCCCACGACCGAGTCCCAGACATACTTTGTCATTCACAATGGTTCAGTACAAAACATAAATAAAACAGAAGTCGCCAGCACTACTAGCACTCAGCTGTTTTAACTTCTACTTTTTTTTCCCCTTCCCTGCCAACAAAACAAATAGCGAAGCAGCAGAACTGCAATTCAAGCGATAACGTCCATGATTAGGAAATCTGGTGGAGGCTGTTGGTGTGATGGGGTTCCTCAGGAAATTAACTCAATTAAGGAATGCAGGCGATAATAAAATGAAGAATTCACTGACTGAGATGAATATAATGGAATATTGTGATGTTGCTGAAGATCAGCGTTGGTTTTCATCATCCAAGTGGAAACTAAGGGTATCCAGGAAAAAGGAAATAAGAGCAGTGGTTAACCATGCATGTTGTATGAGCTATTCCCATCATAACAGTATTAAAGTTACATTACGAGGCTCCAAAGTATGATTCGTATCTTGCCAGGTTAGAAAATGCTAAGATGCTACACAAGCCTTGCTGCTGCATACGAGTAAATAA